ACTATTCGTCCGCTTGAATTCGTGCGCGAAAGTAGAAAGAAGAAGACGAGATTCTGGCGAGAGAGAAAGGATTCGAGCGCGGTGAAACTCGCGAGCATAAAACCGAGAGGCGAGGTTATATACTTACATATCTACGAGGAAAGTTTGATTATGGAGGCGGTTTGGTCGTAACGGAACGGCTTCGAAAGGAAGAAAGATCCTGGAATTGGCTTTTCGAGATTCGGTCGAACGAGACGCGACCCCTTGAAAGACTCAAAGTATTTTGTAATGTAATACGTATGGTCCGTCCAGAGATATACCGAGGTCGTAAAATCGGTCGAGCGGAAAAGTACGAATTTAGCCGATGATTGCCGAAAGTCGTACATTACGGGAAGTATAATAGCAGCGTGTTCGAGTTTCATATAGGATTGATTCATATAGAATAAGTTAAAAAGAAAAATAAATTATATTCTTTGAAACATTTGAAATATTTATTTAATGCTAGATAATTGGCGATAAATGGGAAAGATTAAATATATCACTCGATAATTTTTCTATTTTATTGGTTAAGTAGAAACTCTGAAAATTATATCAACAACGTTTTGAAATTTATTAACTCGATTTAATTAAATTAACGCGACAAATAACTTCCTTATTTCTCTGGACGAACATAACCTCCCTCATGTGGCATACAATATCTAAAGTAGAGCATTGCCGTCAAACCTGATGTCGTGTCCGCTCCCACTGTCATGTCACCGTAAAATTCGTAGGAATTTTGATATTCCCGTAAGAAGCACGCTCGGAACGTACATTTTGTATTACCATCGACCCCTATTTGATCGATCATTCATTCTTCTCTCGTGTCGCGACATTTTTAGCCCTGACAAGGACTAAAAATTTCTCTCCATATACGGAAAAAATGATGCGCAGGCAATTGTCATCTATATCCTTGCGCTAATCTTTGCGATTCTGCAGATCGATTGCACGGGGAAAGCGGTTATATGAGCAGTCCCGAAAGAGGTGGAGGAGTTGGCTCTGGAACGGGAAGATATCCACCCGGCCCCTACAGCGCCGGAAGCAGCTACGAGGATCCGTATTATTCGCAATATTCGGGAACCGTGACACCTGTCATTGATGAGGAAGCCAGGTAACCGGAGTTTCACAATATTTTTTTAGTTGTTTCGTCATCTCGCTTCATTGGTAGTTCTGATTTCAATCATCTAAATTTTTCTTCATCATTTTCATATAAGGTGAATTGTGTTCTAATATAGAATATTTATTTTTATGCACATATTTTATCTATTTGTAAAATTATTATCAAACGAATTACAGTTTATTTCCATTAAATTAAGTAGTAATAATATATAACTGGTCGTACATCTGGATATAAACGGCTATCCGACTTCGGGTCTGTTCGGTAATAATCGGGCGTAATCGACTAAAGATATCTTCCGATCTTACCCGATCTTACCCGAACATTTCCGAGTCCATAATACAGTCCCTAATATTGCGATATTTTATATTAAAACAATTCATCTTATGCATAGAAATTATATATAAACTTTGTGTATACAAATAAGATTAAAAAGAAAAGAATCACAACGCGTGCGAAAGGATAGACAATTCGTGACTCGAAGAGAAAAATCGTTGTCGCGAATGATTTGTGGATGGCTGATAGCGCGGATACGTATATCTCTGTTGTGGGTGGTGCAGCGATACGGAGCTGTTGGAGGAATCGTACAGCCTTTACGGTGTGAAACCGCCAGGCCGTCCACCGTCCGGTCCTCCGCGATCTCCGTTTCCTCCAGGGGCACCACCACCTTTG